AAAAAAAAAAAAACAAATATAATGAATTTAGCAAATCAAACTGCACCTCAATTCACCTTCTTTCTTTTCCTGTTCATTCACAAGAGATACAATTGGCGAGAGCAGAAGTTTATTAATCACTGTGGCCAGCGTGAAATACGTGTAGATCGTTAACGGTCCCAACCATCCTGAACTGAAATGTATAAATGCGTTTATAACGCACAATGGGATATGGTTCATATCCTAAAAAAGTAGTGCTGCGGAGGAAAAAAGATGGGTCCGACTCTATCAAACCGATCTTAAGCTCACTTAGCTATCGTTCTCCTGGCAACAATTTCACTCACTACCTGCAGGTCATTGTAAAATTGAGTGCGGTGAGAGGTTGCGCCTGAAGCCGAGAAGAATCTAGTGGAACTTCGATGGGGCGACGTGTGTCATTTTATATCGCAAGGATCTCTCGGAGTGGAACGTCGTCAGAAATTCTGGTCCTCCCATACTGTTATTTCGGAGCCCGGCGAGCTGCTAATGCGGTTATTGGGACCCACAGAACTCCGCTGTGACCTCTGGAAAAAAGTTAGGATTTCAACATTTTGTCATACCAGTCGATCCGAATTGAGGGCATTTTCATCTTCTTGTAAACTGTATTTTTGTTTATTTGTTCTTTTTTTCTACCATATCAAAATTATTTCATTTTTAATTGTTACATTCCTCCTCTAAACTCTTTTACTTCTCCAGTTGTGAAGAAAGGCAGTCTCTTGTCTTTTACAATTCTTCCTATCACTTTATTATAACAAGCTTAGTGAATGAATATACTTCAGTGCTTTTCTGCGGTTGAAAGCAAAACGTACCTTTCATAAGTTAGGAAAGTGTAATATCCGATGATGAAGGGTGCCATAAAAACAGGTGCGAAAAGTTCCTGAGCCAACAATCGCGTCGCTTTTTCAACATCCTGAGTCATTCGCTGATCACTAAAACTGCAGAAAAGTTGACATCTCTATTCGTCTCTGAAGTTTTTCTGGACAAAACCTGGGAAGTTTTAATCCCGAAATAAAGAAGCACCTAACTTGATTTATCGCGCATCCTCCTCCCTCTCCCACCCTCCTGCTGCCCCCTCAACCTCTCCCAGGAGAAGCCAACTATGATTTCCGAACATTTCAAGGTGTTTATCAAAGTTACTTTTTGGCATTTCTTCTTTTCCATTTCGGTTGGCCTTGGTGCCTATCTTTCCCTTTAGTCTAATTCTTCCAATGCGTAACCTAACTCCTAAGCAATCAGCTTAATGAAGGAAAAAATTTGAAGTTATATTTTTTCTAAATATACAAAACAATTTCTAGCTGAGATCACAAAAATGTACTGGCCATCAAAGCTAGGAGTCCCCATACGACTGAGCAATGCACGGAAAACAAGCTGAAAGTTTGGATCCTTAGTATGCATTTGCAAAACATGAAATATTGGGATAGCACCAGTGGTTTTTATCAAAATCAGCAAAAGACGAACGGATTATCGAAGCCATCGCCAAGGACATTTAAGCGATAATAGCCCTGCCGTTTGAAGTACAGCCGATGCAGTGTGAATCCTGTAGCTTCGCGAAATTTCAGAAACAACTGGGCTGTCGTGTATTTTATTGCTGAGAGCGTCTGGAAATTGTTCTTCTTTAAAGAATAAAAATGAAAATCCTGAAGAACTCAATATACATTACAGCAAAGCCGCCACTCAGGGTGTAGGGCGCAACTTTTGTGAGTTTTTTTTGACGCGGAATGCAACTGTAGAAAGTTAACTTTCTCCCCCGTTTCCCGTCACAACTGATCTTTTGGAAAAGATGGTGAACCAGAAAATAGTTCAGGTGGTAGCACATACCCAGACGTAACTACTAGTTGACAAAGCTGCAGATGACTACCTAATTTCAAGGAAGCTACTTACAAGATGATGGCGATTTTGACTATTTGGCACATGTGAAAATCAATGCACCATCAAAAAAAAAAAAATGAATGGAGAGCAGACAGACTGATTATCTCAATGATCATTAGCAAGAAAGGAGTGTGAAAAAAGTGGACACATATGGATCTGCTTGAAATAAGTGACAAATACACGACTGGAACCAGGACTGTGGCCCAAGAGCCACTTGATGATGCACTTGAGTCTAACATTTGG